CCCTTTTTATCATCCCCAACCTGTCTATTTCACTCCCCTTAGTCGCCAACCGCTTCAAGCTTCTCCTAACCACCACACTGACGTTGCTGACCACCTACAACCCTTCCCACTTGTTGTCCCTTCAATCCAGCATCTTCCCTTCGCTACCACCCACCTCGGGTGGCTGTCGTCACCCATTTCAATCATTCCTATCCTTCTAGCTGACCTCCACCACCAATTAAGATACATTTAGGAGTGTTTGTTTGTGTCATTTTATGTTTTGTGTTGTTATTTCCATTCGAGCCATGATGTAATCTTATTTTAATGTTAATGAAAGTCTATTTTATGTGTTTCCACTGTTTTCCCTACTAGTTCCAGTATCAAAACATTTTTGTAAAGATTGCTTCCCTTAGATTCACTAATATCCATAAATTCACTTTCACAAACCCAAGGAATCAAACCAAATCGCAAGTCCAAACCAATTGACTTTTCCGTAAATCACATGAACAACTTATGATCACACCAATTAAATTTCCTAATGTCGTTTTGGCACAATCATAAACTTATATGCAAAAGTCATAATTCTTCATTTTTTTCAAGTGCATCTCTAGCAATAATCAAGCTAGGTAGGATCTAACAACACACTTGCATCCATAATGTAGCTTTTAAAAGGTGCCTCGCTCATAGTTCCACTTAACCAAGTGAAGCGCTCCTTCACTCAAAACTTCTACAAATCGATTGCAAATGCCCGCTAATCCACCACGTTGGCTCCATAATTCTAATAATAACAAAACACAATTGGTGGATCTAATTTTATTTTAAGTGATTTCAAGGATAATGCACGGCAGGCCAATCCAGGTTTGTTAGTCTTAGAAAGTAATGAAATTCAATAGATTTTTTAGTTGTGTGATCTTTAAAAATTAGCTCATCAGCTCATACATGCTAAAATCTATTTTCGAAGCCTAACAAATTGAAAAGAAAAATGGCTTTTAACATGAAAGATTTATATGAATCTGTTCATGCAATTCTTACAAAAATTTCAATTCAAATCAGCATTTATTAAAAACACTTGCTAAACTTTATATTTTAATTAAAAAATTTTACTTATGCGTAACGATGTAATATAATCAAAATAAAAGTTTAAACCTATTACCGTTATATCCAAAACATTCCATTGAATCAAATTGAAATATAACTTCATCAATATATATATATATATATATCATTAATTTTATTAAAATGTCCAATCCTTAAATTTCATTACATTGAATTATCTGAAGCTTTGATTAACCTAAGAAAATCATAACTTATGACTAAGGAAATTTTCCTAATCCTTCTGCACCTTTTACAGCATCATTTTTTTCCCCGAAACTAACCAAATAGATTTCATTTTAAACTCTAGGTGTTTCAAAACAAATTTATTCTCTGGTACACCGAGGAAATACTAAAAACTCTATTCTTTCTCTTCCAGACGCCAAAGTGGAATCTCCTACAACTTTCAAAGTTCTAAAACAAGCTCTTTTGGGATAAGTTTTCTAAAGACAAATTCTTCGCAAGCCAAGTTGTAAGAGTGGTCTTCATTATTTGTAAAATCATTTTGCATTTTTTTTTCTTTTATGTTCTTTTGCAATATTATGCTAATATATTCATTTAGCAACATTTGTAAATTTGTTTTTTCTTTTACTCTCAAATACTTTGAATACATTTGGAGTTAGTTTCATTATTCAATCATATTCAAGATATTGTTCAATCAAGAAATAGTGCATTAAGTGTTGAAAATTTCTCTGCCCATTCAAGCTGCGTGAATTTTTGGGATTAAGGTTGTAAGTCTAGAGATATTAGAAAACATAGTCCATATGTTTATCTAAGGCATAATGTTGGATACGGTTGGGCGGAACCACATAAAAATCATTATGTGCTCTTTTCATCACTTGGTTTATGCTATTATTGCTCTCACTGTCTTCTAATTTTAAATTTTCAAAGTTTGATTTAAAATTTGTATATATCAATTCACCTCCCCTTTGAGATGTCATAACCACACATCACCGCATATTTAAATTTTCTTCACGTCTCTCGCCTTCTCTCCAAAATTCCATCTCTTCCATTTCTCCCATCCCACAATCATGCAAAAACCTACACCAATTTACAGACAACAATCTTAGCAACGTCATCTACAAAATTCAATGAAAAACTACCAAAAGTCATGTTGGCAACCAATAAAAAAACTCTACATGCTTCTTTGCCATTATCTTCTCTGCAGCATTCAAATTTCTATGGAGCCATATTTTAATAAACGGAATATGTCAATGTAGCATGAATGTCATTTTTATCATTTTTTACATTCACACTTACGAAGGTTGATTTTATAGATGTCAATTTTATCCTCTTAAATCACCTCACTCACGAATATGGGGATGGACAATTTTCCCATTCTCATATTTTGATTCTTAAGTCATATCGTTATGTTGTTTATTTTGATTATGATGGTCAATTGTTGGGCAGTTTTCGTTCTAAATCACATAAATTGTCTTCTTATCTTTATAGCTATGATGATTCATCACCTCATCACAAAAGGTCTTAGAAGTTATACCCTACAGAAAATTATTGTGATAAACGTTTATGTACATTTTAAATAAAGGCTTTACACTCTAGTGCCATGCAATCCACCATAAATGTTTCATAAATTCCTTTCCTTCGACAAATCTTAAAACATTTTCAATGCAAGAGTATGTGCCAGAACTTTATGATTCTGCCATCTTCTGATAATGTTTCTCATGAAGTATATAATGACACTATCGCACACAAGTTAATGAAGATAAACTAGATATTGAAAGTGATTATGAGTTACCAACACTTGAGTTTATTATTGTGCCTGAGGTTGAGTCTGATCTTATGACTAATGAAGTCGTATTAGAGATTGAGTTTGTATTGTCACCATCGCCTAGTTCATTTTGCAGAGTTCTCAGAAATATATCAATTTTGAATCTCTCAGCACTAGGCCTCCAGATACGTGTTTTTTGGGCTGCTTCCTACCGTTGTTTCATGTATTAAATGGGCTCCTCTTTCACCATATGACCAAACGGCTTCTTATCGTTGTTTAGTACCTATAAAACTTCAAAACAAGAGTTCTCTATGGGCCAAGTGAATTAATGTTTAGCAATAAAGATTAGTTTATTAATTTCTCATGGGTTAATCAAAAGTCAAACTAATCTACGAAAGAGCTCAACCGAATCAAGTTTCAATCCTGTATTTAGACCAATCTTTATTTTTTGTTGATATTCACGCCATTTATTTGTCAATGTTTTTTTAATTAAAGGTAATAAAAATAAATAATCTCAAATTTATTATAGGTAAAAGGGGTAAGGATAATCTGATCATTACCATAGGGTTTTTTTTTCGTTAAAAAATAAGGCCGCTTAAATGGACTTTTGATTATTATTGATTGATTAATGGGAGAATTATTGAGACCGCTTGATGATCATTGTATACATGAATTGTTCCAAATTCCATATATGAAACTCCCTCCATCTCACTCTTTCTTCATCCTCATCAATTTACAAACTATATACGTTGTGATTCTTCCATCAAATCATCCCCATTAAGTAGGTCATAGTCCCCACATGTGTTATCTATTCCAAAGTGTCTTGTTTGCTCCGGAAAGATGCTTCACTTATCCCTCCATAAACCCAATCAAAAGCCAATGATGATCATAGCCAACAATGACAACATAACACCAATTTTGTTCCTCCACAGACGATGGCAGCAATCATGTCAACTTAGCAACTCGATCATGCCCAGCCTCTCCTCACTTGACAGCTTTATTACTCATGCTTGACTAAGCGTTGGAATTATCCCCATTTCATAGGTTGGTTTTCTCAACATTTCTCTTTTCTTCCCATAAACTTTCAATTCGCCCACCAATCTGGCCTTCCCACTCTACCTTCTTCCACACGTAGGCAACTATAACATTGCAAAACCACCAATTTCTCTCCACCTTTGACAACTTCTCTTGCATCCTTTGCTAGGCACCCCTTAATCACACCCCCAACCCCAAAAACAAAACACAATAATAAAATTGCCCTAGCCTCCATTAAAGATAACTTCAATCCAATGAGTACCACCAATTTCTCTTCACCTTTGACAACAACTTCTCTTGCATCCTTTGTTAGGCACCCCTCAATCATTTTATCAAATCCAATCTCCTCCCACCCCCAACCCCAAAAACACAACACGATAATAAAATTTCCCTAACATCCATTAAAGATGACTTCAATCCAATGAGTACTCCATGTGGAAAACCACAACAAATGCTTTGCATCCATTTCCACCTTTATCACTTCAATCTAAAGATGCAACTGAGTTATTGCCCTACCCAGGGTTGTGATCGAGTTGAGTCGAGTATGATATGGTTTGGGCTAGGCTTGGTCGAATCATAAGACATGTTGAGCTCGAGCTTGAGACGAACTTCAAAAATATGCTTATGCTTGACGTGCTTAAAGTTTTTAATGTTCACACTTAATTTGTACTTGGCTTATTGTTCCACAACTCCTTAATAAGCCACAGAGTAAGACTAGACAGTGCATCAGTATATCTCTAGTTTGCACTTTGAACCAAACTCAAAAAATTGAGTTAAAATTTTAAAACCTAATCTGACTCGCCGACAAAACAACAAATGCAGATTAACCATTTTAGTTACTTTTAACCATTTTAGTTACTTTCAACAGATTAGAAAAAAGGTTTTCTTCGCCATCTACTCATTCAAAAGCATACAACCTAAATAAATAAGATTACTAGATGTTGCAAGAATTAAATTAATACAGATAAAAGATTTCATATAATCTAATGGAGAAAACTATGATTACAGACATGCACAAGTTACATATAAAAAAAATGTGCAAAAATTGTAAATCTACAGACAAGTTCCTTTAGATGACATTCAAAAACCTCAACTGAATATCCTTCATAAAAACAAAAAGAAACTCAACGATGCTTAATTAATCTTATACATGGGCACAGACTACCTTAATAGATTTATTGTACATCTTATCAAGCATCCTTTGTCGTTCCCGCCTCTTATAGTAAGGTTTGAGAACATACTTCTGCATAATTAATTTGAAGAATATGATAAGAGTGCATGGATTCATTAATAGCAAACCATGAATTTGCATGCTCATAAATGATCATAAGGAGGTTGATTATAGGAAATTAAAAAAAATTAATTGAGTTAACTAGATAAAAGCTGTCCATTTTTTAAGAACTTATTTACATGGGATTGCTAGTTTTGAATTTGTGCTCCTACAAAAAATTTCAAATAATAAAAAATTAATTTGTAAATCCTTAAAGATACTGCAATTTTTGGTGCATGATCATGATACTGAGATTTGGTTACCTCAACTTTCATAAAATGTCAATAAACATTATAAATAAATAGGCTGAAATCTAGAGGCTACATTCTAAAATGAAATAGAATGAAATCGAGAGGCTACATTCCATCCGTAGTTAAGAAAGGATTAAAACCTGTTACACTACATGGCAAAGCAGAGGCTATCAATAAAGAAGGAAACTAACGAAAGAATGGAGGGATGAGAATGTAACAGTACATATTAAGAAAGCCGAACCTTAAGAATAAAATAAAGGGATGATGGAAGTACAAATGCACTTGTTGCAAACAAAGCATTGAACTCGTTGAAAAGCAGCACCTGCACATAATTAATTGATTATAAATAGGAGAATTTTGAGGTGAATTTAAAACTGTAGTACACAGCACAAAGCTACATACAAAAAATCAGCAGTATAAAAGAGAAAAAATCTGGACAAAAAAGAATGAAATAATCCAACAAACGCGTTTTGAAAAGATGACTCATGAAGACTAACATATTGCCCACGAGTAGTTTCTATGTCCTTAATTTTTAATTCAAGTTGTTTTTATTGTAAATAAATAAAAGCTTTACGTTACATACATACCACTCAATTCCTATTTATTTAGATATCTAACACCTAAACTTCAACTTTTACATAAATAACACCTTTCCTATGCATAAAAAAGTGTATTTCACTTTTAAAAGCAAAGAAAGTGGTATTTTTTATGTGATATGAAAGATATAGGTAGAATAAAAATAAAAATAAAAATAAAAAATTCAGGTATTAGATATATTAATACATAGGAATTGGGAATTATGCATGTAAATGCCCCAAATAAATAAGTACCTGAAATATCAAAGAAGAAAAATATCAAAGGAAGAAAAATAACTAAGCATATCTACCAATGTAACTTGAGCTTGGCCTTTTCACTAGTGATTGGTGGATTAGTCTCGACAATTATGACTAACATCAAGAAAAACTAGAATTTCTTTTCCTTCAAGTGTATTTTGTAAAATACAACCAATGTAGGACTTAAAAAAGAATGCTAAAAGTTTATTAATATAAATAATTTAGAAGTGGGACTGTAAGCCATCACGTTTTGGCTTTTTTTTAGTCACTCAACATAGGTGGAAGTTGACCCTCATTGTGATGCGGGGAAAATATCATATGGGCTAATGCAAATTGGTAATATAGCAGTACCAATACTTTGGCCAATTTGAGTGCTGAATATAAAAAAAAACAAAATCCAACCTTTAAGGGCAGTACAATAAACATCAGTATTTTTAGCAGCGGGTTGCTTCCAACTATGACCGTTAGTTTTCAAGTTAACTCCAAATATTAAATAATATTTGAGAGTATATAAAACGCATTTATCATAGTGCCGGAGCAAAACAATAAAAAATGCAAGCAGAAAAAAATACAAAGATTTTATTTGGCACATCTAACTTGAAGATTTCTGAAAATAGGAGAATTTCTATTAGGTGTGTAAAAAATTGACCTGAAATGCCAACTCAATCTGAAACAAACACGAAAAATTCGTGTTTGGGTTGACTTGAATAAAGTTCCGGTTATATTTGGGACAAAAATCTTAACCCATTTAATTTTTTTCTGGTCAGGTCTGGCCCGACAACCTAAAACTGACCTACTAACTCTAAATCAACCCGCCAACCTGGACTTGACCCATCAACCTAAATAGGTATTATACCTTAAGTTAAAGGGTTATATTGGTCGGGTTTGAGTTGAAGTTGGGTCATGTTTAGGATAAAGTTTCTGACCCGTTTATTATCCGGATCAAATTTGAGTCAAGCAGTTTCGGGTCTGATCAATTAGGATCACACAAACCCAATTTGACACCACTAATGTTCATAGATTTTCTTCTTATTTCTACGCATCCTGGCATAAGGAACCTGAATCTTTAACCCATCAGAGAATCAGTAGTTTGCATGTTCCAATCAAAATCAAAAGCTTGTTATGAAAAATAATCATTTTATTCAAAAATGAGAAAAAGGTTGAACCATTTAAAACTTATAGATTATTTTTTTACGATAAGAAAAGCAAGTGATGAAATGATCAACAATGAGGGACTAGTGACATGAACATTAACCAAAGCAAGTGATGAAATGATCAACAATGAGGGACTAGCATGACATGAACATTAACCATTTTTTTTTTATGGATAAATTGAACCTGGCTTCAAATTTTCAAAATAGACCTGAACATATAGGAGAAAATATTCGACCAAAAGATTAAGGGATCAATATGAGCATCAAGTGGACCATTCCGCTACTAAAATTAAGGATTTCTCAAATTAGAATAAGCCTTAAAATAATTAGACAAATTTAAGTCCAAAATAGAGCAAAATGTGTAGTATAATGGAATATCTTCGAATTTTACCTTTTGTCGATATCCAAAAGTGAGAGACCCAATCCACACCTCCTTATAACCGAGGACAATAATGTCTAATTTCACCAATACTCTTGCCACAGAGGGCATAAAAAGATAACCTATTCAATCATCCACCTATATAAGCTTTTCAAAATTTGAGGTCAAGGAAAATAAGTTAAATTGATTGTAATGTAGAAAAAGTCGAGTCCAAGTAAGAGTGATAAAAGGCTCAATAGAGTAATCAAAATGAGGAGACCATTTTAACATGACCATTGGGAGCCTATTAATATAGTAAAAATGTGGTGAGAAGATTTTGATTTAATCGTCTTCTAAAGAAAGCCTTATAATGATATGTTAAAAGTAAATGAGCCAGAAGAAATTAAAAGTAAATATTATCATAAATTAAAAGTATGAGTACTCACCTCAATGTCAAATGATTTGATCTTGAATTTGTCTTAACCTCGACTATTCTAGATTGGGATACTAACATAAACATGATATTAATTACCAAACTTTAAATAAATTATTATTTTAATTAGGTATAACATTGCATTATTTATTTATACAACTTTCATATTTATACTTTATGTGATCACACTTAAATGTTATATATATATATATATATAGATATATATATAAAATACTATAATTAATTTTATTATTTAAATAAATTAACTTAATAAGAACTTACCTCACCGGTTAAACCCTACTCCACACTATTGACCTCATTTTTGGGTGAGGTCTTTACTTCTCTCTTTAGAGCCTAGGGTCTAATCTTAGGTTTTCTTCGTTTGACCCTCGTAGAGGACTAGTACGAGATTCACACCATTTAAAAAATTCAAGCCACTCGTCACTCCTTCGAGTCTCGCATGTGCAGCCCCGAATACTCTGCATTTCCCTGAGTAGATTATAATTGGCACATGAAACTCAAGTCAAGTTCCTACATAAATAGGAGCAACCCCTAGGTAAACCATTTGTGACTCGAGTACTCGCTAACGCCGCATTTTGCGCACGCATCGCACCCCGCACGATTTTGATATAAATTGACTCGTCCGTCAGGGAACTCGTCCGGACAACCCTGGATGATGAAACAAACCACACGTATGCGTCCGGGACATCAAATTTAGCTAGGAATGACACCCATACTGTTATGGTTCTGCGAGTGAGCAAATTAGCATGAATATCGATGCACATTTTTTCATTAGCAGTGTGTGGGTCCGGGCTTATTCGATTCGGGTTGGACTCGAGCTTAACACGGGCACATCACCCCAGCTCAAATATTTTCAAAATTCAAATTTTAAATTTTAAATTGGTCATTTAATCTCACATTAATTGGGTTAAATTGAAATTTAATATTTGCCTAATGAGGATTCCCCCGCATGGAAGGTGTTTAATTTGGCGCCTAATGCCTGTAATCGCATACCTCAACGGCTCCATCCTGCTCCTGTTTTTATTATCCTTAGCTCTCTCGCTCGCCTCTCAGCTACGATTCGGCGCCCGCTCCTCTGTTAACCGCGACATCCCTCCTCACTCGACCGAGTACCCCCGCTCACCTGCTCGCCTCCTCCCTGGGACGAGGAATCCCATTCAACTCCTCCTCTCCGCCTCTTCCGCACGAGACTCACCTGCTCTCTTGCTCGGTTCGTCGCACACCCTAGCCGAATTCTTCGCTTGGCTCTCCCTCCCTGCACCAAAACTCTAGGGAGCCCGAGGCCCTCGCCTCACTCTGTTCCTCTCGACATAAGCCTCGCCTTCCCTCCTCTCCTCCACCGAAGGCTCCCGGTTCCCCTCTTCCTCACTCCTCAAAGCCCGAGATCATTGTCTTTCCAAGTAAGATTCCTCACTCGAATTTCTTCTCGTTCAAAAGCTTTAAGCTATGGAAAATTTTTTTGTCTTATCATTGCTAACTAAATGATGATCTGAAACTTGTATGTCCCTTGAGCTCCATTGTTGGTAGCTTCCTTTTGCACTGCTATGTGGTTGAGTTTGTTGGTGAAGAGAATATAATCTAAGTAATTATTTGTGGTCTGCAAAAAACATGTTGCATGATATTACTTATTTTTGCAGTGTGACTTTTATCCACTGTCCAACTTTTGCATCTACCATTAATCGTTAAACTTCCAGTAGTTGATAGAATAAGAGTTTTCAACATACAAATGGTGTAAAGATTTGCTTATGGTAGTTTTCTCATGGATTTGTTATTCAAACCTCTGTTATATTTTAATTTGGCCATAATTTGTTGATGTGTTTTGGAAACTCATGTGATAAGGTCTATAATTTATTTCTTTTATCCCACCTGGATTAAGTTAAACTTCACTTGCTATGTTTATTGGAAAGAGCAACTGTCGTTACTGTGCTTCTTGTAGTCTTTCTCTTAAATATTTCCTATGTTGCCCTAGCTGCACTTTTACATAGTTTTGGTGAGAGATTTGGGGGCATTATTTATATAGCATTTTAGGATGATTTTCAGGGCTTATTTGGTTGCAGTCCTGGAGCTTTTAAAAGTATGATTTTGGGACTGTATTATGGTTGTTTTGAACGTAGCTTTGGGACTATTAGGTGGCATGTTCGACCATGGTTTTGGGGCCGCATAGGGTGTTTTAGAGCTCTCAAGTATGTTGATTTTGGACGAGCCATAAGAGTTGATTTTGAGCACTACGGATCATTGTTTTGATGAGCCTGCCTTCATAAATCCTGCTGTTAGACAGCCCATGGGAAGCCTTAAAGCTTGTCAGCACCTTCACGATCTTAGCTTAATACATATACTATTTGGAGAAGTATTTAAGGGCTGCACTTTCCACTATTTTTTGGAGCCTTTAAACACCTTTTTTTTGGCTGATTACGCACTGTTTGGGTACCGGTTTGGGGTGCGTTTGGTGACTGATTTGGAGAGGTTTGCACTCTGTTTTGAGGCGAATTTAAGGGTTGTTTCGGGATGTTTTGTGGGCTGATT